TTGAAACCCATTCTGCTATCTCAACCATTATTTATTCAAGTAATAAATCACGACATCTTTGTCAAAATCAATGTAGCATGAAATGGACTAAAAATAGACCTTGCAATCCAATCAACACACCAGAATCTTCTAAAAGGAATGCTCCATTGCACATTTAGCTCTGTCACTGTTAACATTTCTATATGAGCACTTGTGCGTGCTTTCTCTTTGTTCAAATCCCTTCTTAAAATTCAGCATTAATCACCAAGGTAGATTAAAATAGAGACAGCATAATCTAGGGTACCATTTCATGGGTAGAATGGTTTTTAAACTTATGACAGGCCAGAAAAGTGAAACAAGCTCGGGGAAGGAAGGAATACTTCCCAGAGAAGGGAAATGACAGTTTCCTGGGGCATTAAACAGTCCAAGGCTCAGGGTTTGGTCTTCAAAGGGAATTTCATTCCAGCTAGAATCTGGTCAGAAAAAGAAACGTCAGTGGAGGATCTGACAGCTGGCAACACAGACCCTGACATTCCATGATGGGAATTGAGGCACTACTGAAGTTTTAGCTGCACACTGGAGCCCCAGTGTTCCCCTTGAATGGTGTGCCCCCTTTGTAGGGATGTTCCCCTTGAATGGTATGCCCCCTTTGTAGGGAACTTTTCTACAGTGTAGTTAACTGAGAGGATAATGAATCTTTAGAGACAAGATATACTAGATGAAGTGAAATTGTGTTGGTCTTTTATCTCATGAAACACTTTCTCTCCCCTTTCCAGATTCATGGATTCATAGTTACCACAGAGTTGTGAATGCCTCAGGGAGCCCAGGATATGAGCTAGCTTTGCTTAGGGACTCATCAGAGGCCCTGGGGCCAGTTTATTGGTAGAACGAGAGCTTTTAAAATTTAGTTTTTATTCCTTTTCTTAATCTCTTTGATTCCAGCACGTAGTACCTTTTATCTGAATAAAAGTTTTCTACCAAAAATCTAGTGTACTTTATAGACTTATAGTTGATACATTGGTTTCGTTTCAAGGTCTAATGATGCAAAACAGAGAGTTAAAACTATTTCCTGTAGTCTCCTGCAACAGGCTCTGACTATCAGAAAATCTCCTGCCTTCTGTTTCCATCACTGGAATGTGCTGGTTAAACCTTTGTTATTCCCATGTCTGTCTTGCTAATCCACATGCTGTTTCCTAAACCATGAACATTTCTAGAAGCTGGTGAAGAAAACTCAGAAAGCCGATTCGAATTGAGTTCCTATCATGAGAGAGAAAGGGAGAAAAGACAAAAACAAAACCAAAATAAAATAAAAGATAAGATAAGATAAAATAAAATAAAATAGAACAACAACCCTCAAAGAGTTCTGTTTTTTGAGAATTTAAACTATAGATGACATTTTGTGGGGTTTGTAAATGGTGTTTGAGGGACAGAATTTTGAAATAAGTTTACTACTAACTTTTAGTGTACTTACACATAGTCACTGCTATTTTAGACATACCACATGTAAGATATGCATACTTATTTTTATATATCTGTAAATTATAGAAATGATTATCAAGTTGTCGCTTTCCTCATATCTCTTTGGAATCATGTCTGTTATATTTTGGTGTCTTTAGCCCCAAACTTGGGTGTAATGTGGACAGTTCCTTGTCGCGCCACTAGGGGGCAGTATAACATGGCGTAGACGGCAAGGTGAGGGCGGGCTCTGGCACAGACCCTGGATGTTTCCTAATTTACACAGATAGAGTAGCCATGGGCATGTGAAGGACCTCTGCTGGCATCACCCTGAGCCAAGCCCCACCTTCTCCTAACCTAGACAGCTGGTGGTGCTGAGTGACGCAATGCTCAACTAGATCTAATAGTCCTCAGCCCTTCACCCACTCTCCCACCATAGAAATAAGTACATTGTCAACCAAAGGCGGCAGGACACATCAGGTTACCTTCCTCCAGAATGTCCTCAGCTGTAGAGGTCATGCCAGGAGGTTGAAGGAAACCTGGACTCTGGGTAGATGATTTGACAGTCGGTCCTAAGCTACCATGTCCTAGCTGTGAGTCCTAGCAAGTGGCTGGCCATCTTTAAGCATCTTCTCTCATCCAGGATTTGGGAAGGCTGTGACATGCATTCTCATAGAATGGAGACTAGCACATGGGGCCTGTCTAGGTCACAGAGTGAGAGAACTAGAGCTAACTTCTTTTTACTAGTTCCCAGTCATCCTACAATTGAAGATTCAGGCGATTTGATTAACTGCACTCATTCCTTCTAGTCAGAGGATGCAAGCCAATGTTCACTGTAGAGCCTGGGGCCTTTAACCCCAAGAGAATGTATCTGTCCATTTGTACTACTGCAAAGGTTTATTCTTGACGTACAATTTGTTTTCCCTGGGAAAGCTGACATAAGGACCTCAACTCTCCAACATGCACATAGGAATGAGAGGACTTTACTACATGTAATCACATGAGATGTCATTGACAGTAGTTTTCTTTACTACATCAACTATAAGATCCCACTGTAAGTCATCAGGGTCTTACCTTTTATAGTTGATTGGACAAGAAAATGCTTTAATCAGTCTTTGTATGTTCACATAGATAACTTCTCAAACATGAAAATACTAGGCACTTCTCAGAACATTTCATGATGTTAGTAGTGAGGGATAACCAGGGTTGGACAGAGGAAAAACTATCTTTGTTGATTAAAAAAACAAAACAAACAAAACAACTCTCTTGCCCTCTCGACCCAGCGCCTGCAGGTTGTTGTCTCCCCTCCCCCCTTTCCTTCCCCCTCTCTCCACGTGGTCATGGCTGGCCAGCCTCTACCCTCTCTACTCTTCTCTCTCTCCTCCCGCTCTCCCACTCTCTTAATAAACTTCCCCTCGTGGAACCGTCAAAAACAAACAAACAAACAAACAAACAATACAACAATAACAACTACCACCATCAAACACACGGCCTGAGGCTGGACCACCTGACTAATGAGACTTGTAAAGCATTTAAGAGATTTATAGATTCGAAGGAATGGATTTCACAATTTCTGTGATGAGCTTTTGTAGTCCCATTCTCTGACTGGATTCTGGAAGCACCCTGCCTACACCGCAGACTCCATCCCTTCTCTAGTCTTCCTTAATGTCCTATTCATCTTGATTCTCTTCTTCTCCCCCTCAAGGCAGATGTACCGTTAGGGCTGTAAGTCAGTGATACAGCGCTTGTCCAGCATGAGAAAGGCCTTTGGTTCAAGGCTTAGAGCCACAAAATTTTAAAAAATGAAGACAGGTACTGAGGGTCACTTGAGAACAGAAATGTCTGTGTATAGCAACTGCAAAGCAAGGGGTACTGTTGCTTTCAAGGTGGGGGAAACTGAGGCTCTATCCTGGTGGTTCTCTTACAGTTAGGACTTAGATATTAGATATCCATTTCCCCCTAGGAATTCTGTAACCTTTAGTTTAGGCAGGACAGATATTTGGGTGTCTGTGTGGTGGGGGGAGGGTGTCCATTCACTGAGGAAGCTAAAATAAAGCTTCTGCTGGCCCACATTCTTGGGCCAACTCCCAAAGCACTTCTTCCCAGAGAACCGGCCACAGATCAGAAGCTTGGGTCTATGTTCCAAAGACCAGAGGGAAGAAGATCAGAGATGAATAGCACCAAAGTCCATAGATAATAGCTGTGTGACCCTATGTCCAGAGATTGGGCTCGGATGTACAAATGTCCTGTCTCCTAAATCCCTGCAGGACAAGAGATATAAAAGCTTAAATGGAATGTAAGCTATTTCTTAAGGAAGCATGTTCCAGTTGTTTCTGCCTAGAGAGAGCATGGACTCATCCTTAACTGTGGCTTTGCAGGCTCTCTGGCTGAAAGAGCAAAGATAAGGCAGGACCGTGTGCAAAAGCAGCCAGGAGACAGGCACAGGATCCAGATGGAGCCGGTCACCTCCAAGCTCTCAGAAGGCTGCTGTGAATTTCTTCGAATTCTATAGCTTCCCTGACAGTTCCTTTCTTGTCAGCCCTCTACAAACAGTGCGCCTCTCTTCTAGTGCATTCCACTGACCCTTGCATAGAGACTCAGGTTTACCCAATCCACACTCTCCAAATGTACAGTATAACAAGATAGCCATGCTACTGGGAAAGGAAGAATGAAAAAAAAAACTTTTAAATTTTGTTCACCCATCTTGCAAGTGATGTATGTTCCTGAACTCGCTGAAGAGGCTGGACATCACGAGGTAGCATAGTGGGAAGGGTGGTCCAGAGATTCAGAGAACAGGAAGCTAATACATCACAAGGTGGATGTGACCAAAAGAAGAGCCCAAAGGAACCCTGAATACCACATGGGGACACTCCTCACTTCCTGATGGAGACAGAGACTCGTGCCCAGGACTGCTTACCCACCCGGTGCCAGGTATAGATGGCAGGTAAATGTGGGCTCTGAAAGTCACATGTTTAAGAGGCTCAATCATGTTTTTCAAGGCTGTGCTTAATTCTGAAAAGCACCACTCCTCGCTGAAATCCCCTTCCCATTTTCCTAAGCGAGACCCCTAAAAACAGGGTTTGCTTTTATTCTTTTGTTTTTTGAAAGGAGGGAGACTGATTTCAGCTTAGCCATACCTTAATTCTCATATCTGAAACTGGAAATACCAATCTCAATTTCTCAGAATGGTTATGAGAATTAACAGACATGAGAAAACAGCTATTATAATGTCTGGCTACTCACCCCACCACCATCCCATGTCTGGGTACCTCCTTGTGGTTCCTTCTGGTCTTCTCTTATAAAATATGCCCTTTCTTACTCAACTTTCCTAGGCAGAAATCTTGAGAAACTGATACTCATTGTCTCCTTTAACACAGGCTGGAAAGGTAGCAGAGTGTGGGAAAGAGCCAAAAGGATACTGCAGCGGATAGGCACCTCTGCTCCTGAGGTACAGGCAACTTACAAGAGTGGCTAAGGGTCAGACCTTCCATTCTGTGCCCTGTCTCCATCCTCTTTGCTGTGTGTTAGCCAGAGCCTAGAGAATTTCAGTATATCGAGGTTCTTACCTTGAGAGGCACAGCAACAGGTGGGGCCAAGCAGCTCTGGCTGATCTGAATGGTTGGGGAGTATCTGAAGAGCTGTGGCCTTATTGCCAGGACTGTGGTACCTATTTTTTCTTCACAGCTTTTTGGGAGTACCTCTTGGTTTACAGTCCCTCTCCTCTGGGGTGCTCTTTTGCCGCTGTCAGCTGCATAGGACAGGGTGCTTTGTGGAACTGAGAATTCGATGATATTCCTGGCTTCTGGGTCCATATCCCACAGGTCCTCGTAGGCAGAAATGACTGGCCAGTGCTTCCAGCCTATGGAAGGACTGCTGTTTCCATCATTCAGTATAGGAGCTGGGCTAGCAAGCCTACATGGCAGTTGTTGTGGTAGGCCAAGTTTCCTAGAAGCAGGGGCCAGGCCACGCCTACTATGTGAGGATCCACAAACACCACCCCTCCTTACATGCAGATTCTGGGATTTCTCTGTTTCTTCCTTCTTTTCCTTCAGTGAATAGCAATTGAAAGCAGCTGGTCTCTGTGTTCCAAGGCCTTCCACGGGCAGCAGGCTCGAAGGAGAAGTAGCAAAGCCCGGCTTACATCTGAGGTTCCAGGGAGCAGAGAAGAAGCTTGTTCTGGGACTTGGGAAAATGTGTCCCTCCTCCAGTCCCCCTGGGGCTGCTGTTGAGACTGCGGTCGCTGGAGAAGGGGCGGGGAGAGTTTGGGTAGCTCGGGTTGGTGGGGGCTGCAGCTGGATGAAAAGGAAGGAAGTTTTCATCTGCTGTGGCTGAGGCTGCTCGGCCATTTCCTCCAAGGGAGCAGAGCTGGTCCTTGCCAGGGTTTCAGACCTCAGTGTCTCAGCAGCTGCAGGCAGACATGACTCAGCCCCATGGTTTCACCATCAGTCTGTGGAAGGAAATAACACACCTTTAGCACCCAGGGGGACTCTTCAACTGGTTGGGGGGCCAGAGGATCTAATCGTGTTTGCTGGAGAACTGGACTCTGCTCAGAGTCACAAAAGCAAACATTGGTGGGAACAGTGTACAAGTGACAGATGGACGTGGTGGTGGGTGTGTGTGGCAGTCAAGACAATCGATCACACCTATGTTCAAATGGAATCACTTGTTACCTTTTAAGTGTTCCTTCTATTGATTATCTTGACCATTCCTGTGATTTGGAGTCTGATCTGAAAGGCGTCATGTGGTTGATGAATGACATTTCCAGTAAACATTGAAATGGACTTTCAGTCTCCTTTGTCTACAGATGTGAAACACAGTTTCGACTAACTGGAACATTTCATGAAAATACATCCGTGGGGTCCCCTTAAGGAACCATAGTCTATAAAGAAGAGCTTCATATATTCAAACTATAATATTGGTCCAGGCCAAAGTATTCAATATTATAGTGTGAGTATACTGTCCCCAAAATTCAAATGTTGCTGCAGTGACTGAGAGGAGGGACTTCTGAGAGGTGATCAGAAGTGCTGGTGTGCACTGCCCCCAGCCTTGTGCGTTTAGATCATAAAGAGGCTTCTGGAGAAAACCCAGATAGTGGTAGCAGTGGGCCCCGAACCTTCTGCCTGCTTTTTAATTTGTGAACTTGTTGCAGCAGTGACAAGTATTTCTATTCTAAGTTGTATGACCTGGAATACAGGAAATGCAGAGAAACAGGTGATGGTCGGGAGCTGAAGGTAGGGCTGGCTTGGAAGGCGTGGGAAGGAAACCTTTGTGAGAAATCATTAAATATGGTGGGGGGTGTTACTAAAGGAGTGTTGGTCCTGGGTAAGAAGTAGGGGGTAAGATACAGAGAAACCATGGTTATTATTGGATATAAATAATATCCAATTTTTGACTGAAATATCCATTTTGATTGAAAAGACAAACTTTGGTGACAAACAAACATTCCTCCGAGTCTTCCTTCCACTTAGAGAAAACTTCTAATTGTCTTTAAGACTAGCTAACTATTACTAGTTTACAGGTTTGCTATTGATGTAGGGATTAAATAAATAGTGCAAGGTGCACAACCAATTCTCAGTAACTCTTAGCTGCTATTCTTAGAATGTACCTACACATTTGAAGCTTTGAAAAAATTTGTTCATGCAGCAAAATAATTAAAATGTAATATATGTGGATATATACATGTGTGTGCACATGTATGTGTATTGTTTTCACCTATATTAGGTGGCCATTTACATATTTTAATGCTTCCTGTGTGACAAGAAAGACTCGAGGACTAAGGAATGTCTGGTGAGAGTCAGCAGTGAATTTGGGGTTAGGAGACAGAGCTTGAGCTTTGGAGTAAACACCTATTAAGTGTGATTCACAGCGTATCGTTGAACTTTGTTAGAGTTATTTATAAAACAACAAAATAAATGTCTATCCTTTCCACTTGACAGAATTCTTTTATAGGTCAGATGATATATCTACGTAGATATGCATATCTATCTGTCTATCTATCTATCTATCTATCTGTCTGTCTGTCTGTCTGTCTTTGAGTTGTGATGTGTTGTAATGCATAGATACACACACACACACACACACACACACACACACACACACACACACACACCTGTATGTATACATGAGGGTTATTTTAAAGACAAGATCTCAGATGGTCTAAACTGGCTTTAAACTCAGGATGATCTTAAACTCTCAATCTTACTTCCCTTCACCTCTCAAGTGCTGGGGCTACAGGCATGCATTATCTATAATAAATAATAATATTATGTATACTCCTAAACTAAATAATTCTCTGTGCTTTCTATTAAGTACTGTGGTTTCATTGCTTTGAAAGGATTCTAAGTCAGCTTCCTATTTTCTTGCCACCATTTCAAGATTCATAGAACGTAGATAGAAATGTCATATACCTTAAATGGCACTATGTCTCTGCTAATGGTGATGGTTTCTTTTCCACAGTTCTAGACAGAAAATAAGGTTCTAGAATCTTAACTATGATGAAGAGGAAGGATTCGAGAATGAAAGCACTCTATTCCCTCTTTTCAACCTGTGGTAACTTTCTGAAGTGGGCAGAATGGCCACTGGGAATACAGAGAATGAATGGGAATATGGGGCGATTTCCTTCAAGCCATGTAGTTAGTGAAGGCAGGAATTGATCTCTCCATCCAGGCCCAGATCTTCCCATCCCTCTCTGACTGGTCGACCTCACCTAGACTGTGTTCAGCCTGTGCTTCCTGTGTCTAGAGGAATGATGCAACCTGATAATGATAGTGACCATAGCTACTGTCTTGTTCTCTTTGGTTTTCTATTTAAAAATGCTATAGATTAGGTTACTTATAAACAACCAAAAGTTAGTTTTCATGTTTCAGGGATGGAGAAGTCTAAGATCAGGGTGCTGCCATATTCTTCTCCCACTTGTGGCACAACCCAATGACCCTCTTCTTATTTCCATCATTTCCCACCCCCAGAAGGTGGCATGTATTCCATTGTGTGTCACAGGGTTCCTGGCGCTGCAGTCTACAGAACATAAAGCTGCTCACCCGTAGTGACACAGAACTGAAGCAGATGCAGATGATGCAGGCCTGGGTCTATCAGGCACTAACAGCTGCTCCTTCCATACTGATTCGCTACACGTTGGTGATTAGTGCATCCAGGAGGTACTTTATTTACCATGGATAGAAATAAGAGATATGGAGAGAGTCTTTTAGAAAAGCAAAAATTTCACACATCCTTCTTAAGTCTCAGGGCACATCATATTCCGTGACAACTCAACCTCATGCATAGTCTTTCCATATTGGCTGGAGTGACTTGCCTTTTTTCTTTTTCTTTTTGCCTCTTCTCAAAAGGCAAGTCTAACTCATGTCATCATAGATGACACTGTGTCTGGTCCCCCCCCCTCCCTTGCTATGTTCATTTATGGAAGGACCAGATGGCAACATTTGGAAAATATTTTAATTAGGAAGTCTTTCATTTCCATCCTGTTTCTATTTCCTTTCCCACCCTTCACCCCACCCCATGCACACATTGGCATCTTCTTAGTGAATCTTCGTATTTTAAGTTGGTATGTGCCCACCCTGGCATCTGGTCACACAGGGCAATCACACTTGAAGTAAGTGGAAAAATGCTGAAACAGATAGGAACCCTGGGCCAAAGGGAGATTCAATGCTCTGCCCTGTGTCACGGGCAGATGTCCAGGCTTCATACCCATGTCTTCTGGAGTTCTTTACATGTAGGGGTAGTGGGTTCTAGCAACAGAAGTCCCTCCCACAGCTACACAGAGGTGAGCAGCCCTTTTCTACAGAGAGAGGCTGTGCTGTGGGGCTGAGAGTGAGGATGAAGGACCAAGGTGGTTGTGCTCCCTGTCACCCAGACTCTACATCCTTCTAGTAGCTCCAGGTTGTCCCTGGTGACCCATTTCACATAGCTGTGAGTTTCCTGGAAACAGCTGTCACAGAACTCTGTCAGACAGATAGGAACTGCTTTAAAAGGCACAACTTATGAGTAGTTCAGAGAAACAAGGGCACCTTTCTAGTCAACTTGGTTATGACTGTAATTTATTATGTGCATTCACCCCGGACAAGTAATTCTCACTGGCTATCCAATTCACTCCCCACGAGGCTACAGGGTTAAAGCAACCAAGGTCCATAGATTAAAAAAAATTAGCTGAGATTCTTAACAAGTGGCAAAGCTGGCACTGCAGCCTCTCTTGTCTGGGCTCTGAGATCTCTGTTTCACTGGAGTGCTTGTCAGAGCCATGCTTGTCTCCCTAACCTTGCCACTATCCCATCCTGCATTGCTCACTGAAGCCTATCCAATCAGCTCTATTTTTGCTTTTAAGTCATCTAAAGAAGTCTCAAACTGGATCATGCTTACTCTCTGTGGGCATCAGTGTCCTCAGGAAAAAGACCAGCATACCTCAAATTGGCCTGAACCTTCCCTGCTTTCTTGTGTATTGTTTCTCTACAGAGTGACTCTATCCCAGACAGGACAATCAGTACTTAGACCATTGCTCTGGTCTTTTCCTTCTTCCTTCCTTTCTAACTAAATGATACAGCCTCCTGCACCTTGGCAGTAGCCTAACACCTGTGGAACTGTCACCAGCCACTGCCTCTCATTAGTCCTCTCCTTTCTAGTACTTTCTGCCAGCCATGCTCATTCTGATGCCAGTTTTGCTGTGATGGATACAAGGAGGAGGGAAAGCAGGAAGACAAGCAGGAAAAGAAGCTAAAGCTGTTAACATTTTCCCTTTTCTTACTCGGAGTTATACTCACGAGTCATCCAAAAGAGTTTTAACATTGCAAATGTCTCTCATAAGTAAAATATTTGGCTCAGTTATAAACTCAGATTAGAGCTGAGTGTTGGTTGCAGCAAAACACTATCGAACTGTGATGTATTCAACAGCATGAGTAGAAACCAGTGTATGAGA